GAAGCACTGTTTGGACATGATTTGGTCTCCAAAGACCTCTTCAATTATTCCGGCTTCGTTGGGGAACCGTAATACTTGATGGCAGGTTGACGTTACCGATCGCATGGCGTGCAACCATGTCCTCCCCAAGATTATGTTGTAAGTGGAAGGGACTTTCAATACCCAGAATTCCACCTGTTTCATCACGGTTCCTGCTCTGACTGGGAGGATTATCTTGCCTACTGGCCACTCTGGCATTGAGTTGAATCCGATCAGGGGAGATGTTGCAGGTGCCAAGTCTTTGTCCTCCAGTTTCAGTTGTTTGAAGGCTTCGTAATACATTATCTCACATGAGCTCCCTTGGTCAATCAAAATTCGCTTGATGTCGAAATTCTAGACGCGTAAAGTGACAACCAGTGCGTCATTGTGAGGGCAGTATATCCTTGCCAAATCTTTGTCTGAAAAAGATATGACATTTGTGGCCTCTGTTCTCCCCTTTTTGATGGTTGGTTGTGCACTTAATACCTCTCTTAAGTGCTCATCCTTTTTGATCATTCCCCTGAGCTCACATACCCGCTCAAGTTTGCATATCCCATGTATTACGTTAATCACGCCTTGAGGTGGAGTGTCGACCGACATTCCGTTTGGGTTGTTGTGATTCTGGGGGGCTGGCTGTGTTCCTCCTTCTATGTACTGGTCCAAGTGCCCAGCTGCCACTAACTCCTCCAAATGCTGCCTCAATGGCATGCAATTTTCAGTGCAGTGCCCCTTTTCATTATAGAAGGTGCACCGGGATCTTTCGTCATAGTCTTTTGTGCTTCTCCCAACTTAGCTGGCCATCGAACGAAAGGTTCATCGCGTATCTCACTGAGAATTCGGTGGATTGGTTTTTTGAATACTGTGGTAATGGCGTTGCGGACTCTTAACCTTCTTTGGTCTGGGTCATCTCTGTTGGCCCGCCTGCCTCGCCCATTCCTGTTTGATTGCTCTACCATGTTGACTTTTGCCGTAGTCTTTTTATCTGGCATTGCTGTTGTGCCAGATTTTGCTTTAGCACGGGTGCCATCCTCCTCCACCCGAATATACTGGTGCACTCTCTCCATTAAGGCCTCCATCATGAGGGGTGGGGTCATAGTAATTGAGTCCCTCAATTTGTTACCGACTGGCAGGCCCCATTTGTAATGTGCAATGGCAAGGTTCGTAGGGCAATCCCCAATCTGGTTGAAGGTTTTCCAGTAGCGACTGTTGTAGGATCTCAACGTCTCTTTTTAATCCATGTCAATGGAGAGTAACTGGTTGATTTCCACTAGTGTCTTGGTGTTCGTTCTAAATCTAGTCACAAACGTCTCTGCCAATTGTGCCCAGGAGGCGATGCTGCCTTCTGGTAGCCTTTCGAACCAGGTTAGACCTAGGTCGCCAAGGATGGATGGGAACAGGATACACATCAAGGCCTTGTTCTACCGGTATACTGCCATGACCTGGCGAAAGTGGCTTAAGTGCATGTAGGGGTCTGTCTTCCCCTCATAAGTGGTGAATTTGGGCTGGTGGAAGCCTGAAGGTAGTGGTGCGTTCTCAATTGCCAAAACGAACGGCGAGCTCTGTAACCTTGCTAATGCTTTGTCTGTTGGTTCGTAAGCAAGGCGCGGCATTGGCATTCCCACCTCGACGCTCCCATGTGTCTGAGGTGCCAACCGCTGAAGGGCTGAAACTCTACGCGGGTCGCATTCCCTGGTATCCTCCTTCCACTATGCCCTTTCTTCCAGCACAGTTCGTAAGTCAGATGATCTAGGCAACTCCGTGTGCCTAGATGACGTCTGGTGCGTGTGCGAGGGTCAATAGGTGCTTCCCTCAGTATATGACCTCTCAGTTTTCGTTCTTTCAGACCTAGAGTAGCGAGTCCTGGAAGTCCTCGATTGAGTGTCGCCTGTTCTGAGGCTCCTACTCTCTTCTTGTGATGGTGTGACAAGTCTGTCATGATTTTCTGAGTGGTAAGGGGGCATGCGGCTTTTGTGCCCCTCTTCTGTCGCCACTCCTTTTTCTTTGATCTGGCGCTTCATGGTCTCCATGTTTGCCGCTATCTTCCTTATTAACTCGTCTTGCTCCCTCACATGATCCTCAAAAACTTGAGCATCTAACCTCCGCCTCTGTCTTTCGGGACTTTGAGAGCGACGGGGGCTACCGCCCCGTCTCCCCCTTGCATCCCTCTAGGTGTTCTGTCACTGGGGTTCTAAATCCGCCATGGGAGGGATAGAAGGCAAATCTTCGCACCTCCCACCCCCCTCCGAGGTTTGCCCATCAATAGCTGATTGTGGCAAGTCCTCATTGTGCGCCATCGCTTCTAACTAGGGAGGAAAGCTTGATCAAGAGGTTTTGTTCTTTGGGGCCTTCCCACAGACGGCGCCAATTGTACGAGCACGAAATAATGTTCTCGTATAATCCTGTTGATCAAGTATGCGCTCCTCCAAACGTCGTCGCTTTACTCCCTGAAAACACAAACGTGAGCTAGCCGGCGAGTGTGTGCCGGATACCTCTCCGATGCCTAAGTCAGAAAAATAGACAAAAGCTCTATGTATTCGGGAATCAAAGTTGTCTTACCTGTACATAGGTTATATTGTGAGCTTTTATAGGTTCCGCGTGGCATAATCCTAGCAGGACTCTTATTCCTCCATATAGAGTCCTCCTAGGAATCACACTTCTAAAAGATAATATTTATCCTTTAACACCCCCCTCACTGCTTAAACCAAGTGAGATGGTTTTTGTCTCGGTGGGATGACAATATAACCGAGCTAACAATATCTCTGTCATACTCAATCCAGCACCTTCACATGCAACTCATAGCTCGGCTCTTGTTCACTTGTACCTCAATTTTGTCCGTTGAGACCGAGCTAACTATAGCAAGCTCTGACCACGCTAACCAGAGCAAGGTCCACCATAAGAAGCCATAATACCTTGGTTCCAAACACTATGACCGAGCTAATTACCACTCCGACCGTGGTGACTATAGCCATATTTAAACTGAGCTAACCATAAGGCCCTTTCACTCAGCCCTTTTTACTGCGGCCCACAGAACGGCCCATTACCATGCCTTGGCCTAGCTCGGCCCTCATGTACATAAAAACTCCCTCTCACTAGGATCTTGGCAACTATTTGCCTTCGCTGTCTTTAAGCTTGTATGCCCCATTGTCGGCGACTGAGATGGTTCTATAAAGTCCCTTTCAATTTGGGCCAAGCTTGCCCTCTCTAGGATCCTTCTTGTTGCCGACGACCTTTCTCAGGACGAGGTCCCTAACTTGGAACTCTCGTGGGTTGACCTTCTTATTGTAAGCCCTAGCAAGCTACTGCTGGTATGCCCCCAGCCGAATTGCTGCTCTCTCCCTTCTTTCTTCCAACAGGTCCAGATCTCGGGCCAAATATGCCTCATTGGTCCCATTCTCTACTCCTTGGGTTCTAATCACTGGGATGCCGACTTCTAATGGGATTACTGCCTCTGTGCCATAAGCCATAGCAAATGAGGATTCCCCAGTTGATCTTCTCGGAGTAGTCCGATATGCCCAGAGTACATTGGGTAACTCATGTACCCACTTTCCTTTTGCTGTTTGCAGCCTCTTCTTGATCCTATCCGAGATAGTTTTGTTGGATGCATTTGCCTGACCATTGCTTTGAGGGAAGCTTGGAGTGAAATAGTTCTTTACTTTGTATTTGGTACAGAAGCCTTTGATTAGCTTACTGTCAAACTGTGTGCCATTGTCTGCTATTATTGCCCTTAGAATCCCAAACCTGGTAATGATGTTCTTCCATATGAAGTTCTTCACATCAACATCTCAAATCTTCGCAAAGGGTTTTGCTTCTACTAACTTGGTGAAGTAGTTTGTTGTTACCAGCAAAAATTTTCTATGTCCAATTGCTTGGGGTAGTTGCCCAACTAGATCTATGCCCACTGGGCAAATGACCAAGGATTGGATACTGGATTTAAATCTTCTGCTGGTTGATGTATCAAAGGTGCGAACCTTTGACACTTCTCGCATTTTCTGACATAGGCTTCAGCATCCTTTTGCATGTAGGACCACCAGTATCCTTGAGTAATGGCCCTATGAGCAAGTGACATGCCCCCAACGTTGCTTCCACATACTTCTTCATGTATTTCATACAAGAAGTTTTCAACTTGTGAAGGATGCACGCATCTCAAAAGGGGACCGGTAAAAGACCTTCTGTAGAGATGTTCCTCTGCTGTTAGATTGAACCTTGTCGACTTTAGTCTGGTCTTGTGTGCCTCTTTTCTGTCCTCTGGCAACTTCCCATCTCTAAGGAACACTACTATTGCATCCATCCAACTTGGTCTCATCTCCACACACATTGCTTCATACTCTATGATTAGTGGTTCCACACTTGGGCCTGACAAGTAGTCAACCATTATTGTCCTTGCCTCCCCTGATTTTATTGCACTAGCCAGGTTAGCCAAGGCATCGGCATGGCTATTGTCATCTCGGCCTACCTACTGTAGTCGGCAGTCTTGAAACAAGGCCAATAGTTTAACAACCTCTTTAACGTAGGCTATCATTCTTTTATCTCGAGCTGCATACTCATTTATTGCTTGGTTCACAATTAGCTGGGAGTCACAAAAGACCACAACCTCGTCGATTTCCATTGCTGCTGCCAGCTTCAATCCTGCGATCAATGCTTCATACTCTGCTTCATTGTTGGAGGCTTTGAACCCCAAACAAATTGATTGCTCTAACATTCGTCTATCTGGAGATACTAGTACTACTTCTGCCCCTGCTCCCTGTCTGTTTGAACTCCCATTAACAAACAGGCGAAAGGAGTCGCCGATATAAATATCGCAGGGCTTAAGTTTCTCTTATTTTTTTTGCTCTGCTATGGGGTTTTTCATTCCCAACTGGGTCTCTTCTTGTTCTCCTGGACATCCTAAGTCGTGGCTCATCGGAGCCCGACGTGGGATGGCTCAAAGTGTGAACTTGGCCACGAAGTCGGCCAGAATCTGGCCTTTGATTGCTGTTCTCGGCCTAAATTTCAAGTCGTATTGGCCCAATACTACTGCCCATCTGGCTATCTTGCCTGTCAGATTTCTTTGCTGCAACAGGGACTTCAAATGATGCTCAGTTAATACCACAATCTTGTGGGCTTGAAAGCAATGATTCAGTTTCTTGGAAGCCATTACTAAGGTCAGTGTCAGTTTTGCCAAGGGTAAGTATCTGGTCTTTGCATCTGCTAAGGTTTTACTCACATAGTAAGCTGCCTTTTGTTCTCTCTTTTCTTCTCTGATTACCACTGCGCTTACTGCACGCTCTGAAACGGCCAAGTATAAAAACAGCTCCTCTCCAGGTACTAGATTTGAGAGAACTGGAGCTGTGGTCAAGTATTTTTTCAAGTCGGCCAAGGTGACTTTGTACTCTTCTGTCCACAAGAAGTCTGTGGCTTTCTTTATTAAACTAAAGAAACGTTTGCATTTGTCAAAACTTCTGCTTATGAACCTATTCAAGGCTGCGGCCCTTCCAGTCAATATCTGCACTTGTTTTGCTGATGTTGGGCTCTTTAAGTCCAAGATGGCCTTGATCTGATCTGGATTTGCCTCAATGCCTTTTCTGGTAACAAAGTATCCCAGGAACTTTCCTGACCCAACTCCAAATGCACACTTTGACGCATTGAGTCGGAGCCAAAATGTCCTTAGGATATCAAAGACTGCTTTCAGGTCGACTAGATGATCCTCAAGTTCCTTGGTCTTCACGACCATGTCATCAATGACTGTTTTGCCTATTAGATGTTTGAACATCCTAGCCACCAATCTCTGGTAAGTTGCTCCTGCATTTTTTAACCCGAAAAGTATCACTCTGTAGCAATACAGCCTTTTTGGGGTGATAAATGCAGTTTTCTCCTCATTGGGAGGGTACATGGCTATCTGATGGTACCCCCTGTAAGCGTCCAGGAAGCTCATCCTTCCATGCCCTGAAGTGGCATCCACCAATTGGTCAATCTTGGGGAGTGGGAAACTGTCTTTGGGACAAGCCTTGTTCAGGCTGGTAAAGTCCACGCAGGCCCTTCACTTCCCACTCTTCTTCTTCACAACAATTGTGTTTGGTAACCATGTTGGGTAGTTTACCTCTCGAATGGCTCTGGCCTCCAGAAGTTTATCCACTTCCTCCTCTACTGCCTCAACATGTATCAACGTAGGCCTCCTTGCTCGATATGTTTGGCCGACCTGTCCACATTTAGTCTATGCAAGTGACCTCAAGGTCAATGCCAGGCATCTCGTATGGTGTCCAGGCAAACACCTCAATGTTTGCCTTCAAGAACGCCTCTAACTCATTTTCCTCTTCCTCGGCCAAGCCTGAGCCGAGAAGGAAAAAGCGCTCTTCATCCCCTTGCTGGACTGGGATCTTCTTCAGGGCTTCCTCACTTTTCTCGGCTGGTTCTTTGCCGACGTCCTCAAGAACCTCCATGTCCTCATCCTCAATCTCTACTGTTTTTGCTTCTCGTATGTTGCAGGTGGATGTCATTGCTGCCATGGAGCAATTCTTTGCCTGCACCTGATCCCCTCTAACCTCCCTCAATTTCATGTTCTGTTGGGAACCGCAACAGCTGGTCTAATGTTGAGGGAACCGCCCCCATTGCATGCAGCCATGGCTTTCCCAGGATAACGTTGTAAGGTGAGGGGGTGTCAATGATTGTGGACTCTTTGCTCACTTTCCTGGTGCCTGCCTGCACCTCCAACTTTAGTGCCCCCAAGGGCCATGTCAGTGTTCCATTGAACCCAACCATTGGACTGTTAGACTGTTCCAGATCGTCTTGGTGAAGACCGAGCTCCTTGTAGCATCTAACATACATGATGTCACAAGAGCTGTCTTGGTCAACTAGAATGCGCCTCACCTGGCACTCTCCAATCTTCAAAGATATCATGAGAACATCATTGTGTGAATGCTGAACCATGTCTAGGTCGGCTTCAGTAAAAGATGCCATTGGTCCTTAACACTCACCTGCCCTAGGCCTTTTTTGCTGGACCTGACACATGTGTTGTAAGTGTTTTACCCTTTGAGTCTCCCCACGTATCTCGTTCTCATTGACCCTCGAGTGAATCACATTGATCACTCGAGGTCCTTCTGCTTACGGTTGTGGTGCTGGTGGAGATGGTGCTGCTGGTGCCTGGGGAAACTTTACCTGTTCTTTCCTTTTTCTAGCCTTATCCACCAAGTCCCTCAAGTGGCCTTGTCTGAACAGGCCTTCTAAGTGTGTTTTTAGGGCTTTGCACCCTTAAGTCAGGTGCCCATCCTCATTGCGGTAGGCACAGTGCTTCCCCAGGCTCCTTTCCATAAATTTGCCAGGGATCTTCTCTGGTGCTCTGAAGTAAGGCTGGTTCTTGATTCTCTTCAGGACTTTGTAGACCGGTATCCGGAACACTGTGGTGACTACCTGTGCAACCCTTAGTACTGTCTCTTGCCTGTTATATCCAGTATTTCCTCGGCCTCACTTCGGTGATCCCTTTCTCTTCTCTTGCTTCGACACCTTTGTCCCTAGCGTGTTTTCTTCAGCTTTTGCATACTTTTCGATCCTGGCCATGAGTTCCTCCATACTTTTGGGCAGCGTCTTTGCCAGTGATTTTCGAAGTAGACAGTCATTGTTCAGGCCGTTCGTAAAAGAAACAACCGCCAATTGTTGATGGCACCCTGGTATTCGGTTAAACACTTCATAATACCTTTTGGCATAAGCCCTGAGGCTTTCATCCTCGCCAATCGTTAAAGCCATCAGAGAGTCTACCCTCAATGGCTGCAGTCTGTTTGTCACAAACCTAGCCATGAACATCTCGGCCAGGCCTTCCCAACTCTTCACAGTTCCTTTCGGTAACTTGTGAAACTAGTCTGATGCGATTTCCCCAAAGGATAAGGAGAATACCTTACACAGCAGCGGCTCGTTCCCGGTGTACAGTGCCATTGAGTTCAGGTACAAGCCGACGTGAAAGTTAGGATTAGACTTGCCGTCGTATATTTGGAATCTCGGCATGTGGAATCTCTTCGGGGCCTCAAACTTGTCCAGCTCTACCGAGAATGGGGTTTTCAGCTTAACCGGAGATGTGACCTCGGCATCTTCTCACTTCCTTTGTAGGTAGTCTCTTAAATCCTCCTTAGTCCGTCCAGGAGCTCGGTTGTCGACGAACTTCAGCCTTTTGAGTGCGCTGCTCCCGGTGTCATTGTGAGTCCTCTTGGACCTCCCTTCATTCATAGTGTCAAAGCAAAGCTTTTTGCCTTGAACATGCCCATGTTCTTTCGCATAGGCTTCTTTGGCATGATGTGTTTTTTGAGACTCTCCTCTCATCGTTTCTCCTCGCTCGACCTTCCGTGAAGGCCGATGAGAATGCTCCATCGCCTTGCCATGCTAGAGGACTGCGGGGATTGCTTTCTGCCCCCCCTTTTTGGGCATCGTTCTTGGCCGCTGGAATCAGCATAGCCTCCAATGGGAATAGTGGTTGCATGACGTTGTTCTGTATCATGAAATTGACAACCGATTGCAGGTCAGCCAATTTGTTTACCATTTCCTTCATCTCGCCGTCCCTCCTCAGGTATCTATCTTTCCATACCTGGAGGTCGCTTTCGTTGTAATACTCACCTCGGTCTACCTTTTTTCCATGTCTCCCTTTTTGCCGACGTCTTCTTCCCCGGGATTCTGCTCCTGGGGTTCTTCATTGCAGTTCTCCTCCTTTACATTAGGGTCAAAGTGTTTACCACTTCCAGTAGGGATGTCGTCCCCAGTCTTCTCTTTCTGTCCGTCGTTGGTCATCTATTCTCCTTTCTTTCCCACAGATGACGCCAAATTGTGTGTGTTGATTTCTAACCACACTGCCAAATAGGGAACTCAGCTGGAGAGCACTGGCTGAATAGATTACGCCCGAACAACCTGTCATAGAAAGATAAGACTCCGGCAGTAGTTTATCCACCCAGGAGCACTCCGATGATCAAGTCAGTACTAAGTTATATCTCAAAGATAGCAAATAGTGCTTAACTCACTAGCCAGAATACAAAAAGCATACCTTAGACTCACGAGGGTGCCTTACTTTTATAGCCAACACTCACTTGATTCCTCTAGAAGCCTAGCTTCTCTTGGACTCTGGCTCAATACTCATCCTGAACTCTCCAATAGATAAAGATAAACTCCTTAAGAGTTTTATCTTTATCTAAGCTGAGGTCCTCTCCCATTCTAGGACTCTTTTAGCTTATCCGTTCATCTCGAATTCCGGTATCTTCGCAGATAACCTCGGGGTAGCCGAGATCACCTCGGCGCCATGACCAGGACACGTGGCACCTCGGGTGGAACTTCGGTGCCACCTTGGCCATGTGTTGTCATTTACAAAAATATGCCCTCACAACTGCCCCATAGGTTCTATTACCTCGGGCATCCTGAGGTGATGGAACCTATATAATTTGTTCACATTACCCATCGGCTAAAACTTGCCATACCCTTCATTACCGAGGTCATAATTTGTCAGCTCCCATATGACCAAGACTACAGTGTGTTTTATCAATGCCTAAGAACCAAGAACCAAGGTTTTAATTGAGATCGTCCCCTTAGCCAAGGTCTTTGCTTCACTAAATCAAGAACTCCAAGAGTTTTATCTGCGCATGAGCTGTCATACACGATTTCTCAACCGTTTTCGCCACGCGTCTTTTCCTCATTGGTCTGCACTTAACACGCGCCATCAGGTCGTGCCGCTTTTGCGAGCGCCGCCTGACAGACACGTCGTCCTAGGCACACTAATTGTGATTTTGCCGTCTTTTCGTGTTTAATCAAAAACACCTCATTCTCTGTCCGTTTTTTCACCATTGCATCTTCGTTCTCCCTCTACGTTCAAGTTCCTCTCTCTCTAAACAAACCCTCTACCTCTATTGCTATTGAGTTCTGCAGCTCGCTCCAACCATTTCCTCCA